TTTCTGAAACAAGAGACAAAATTTTATTTTTTCAATAAATTAAAATTTTTTTGAGATGCACCTGAATATAGTGTCACATTCGAGGTTAAATATATAGAATAAATACTTTTAAAAAATTATTCATTTGAGTTAATATGTTCACTTTTTCCTCATGTCTTGAAGAATAAATGCCAGAACAGTTGTGCTGGCATCTCCCCCCACACCCTCCAACCACACACTGAGTTAAAAACAGGATCAACTTATTTCTGCAGTGAGTCTTTAAATATCAGAGAAAAGTTTCTTCATCAGAGCTGATTTTTCAGAGCCTCAATCATCTGTAAAAATGCTTCTGATTAACAATAATTACCTGAACTCCTCTGCTGATGCACAGTCTGTATTTCCTACAGCCAGGCATCACAGCAACAAAATCACCCAGTTAACAAAATTATCATTTTTTCTCTTGAGTTTAAACAAATCTTAGTCTAGAAACCTTATTTCCTGTTTGATCACATCTAATAAATACTTTTTGAAGGCGGTTTCAGGAAGATCCTGTAGAGTTGATCTCAGGTCAGGGTTTGGCAAACATCAGTGTGTGTGTGTGTGTGTGTGTGTGTGTGTGTGTGTGTGTGTGTGTGGGGGTGTGTGTGTGTGTGTGTGTGTGTGTGTGTGTGTTGGACCTGCTGATCTGGTTTCTGACATTTTTTTATTTTCATTTCCAGAGAACTTATTATGAATCAAACCAGAAACTCACCTGAGGGGAAAAATGTGTTTTATAGAAACGAGAGTCATCAAACTGATCTTTGTCTCCTAAACTTTAACTGATTTATCTGTTAACATGATATTATTTTATATTCAGTGGATTTAAGTGTCCAATAAATATTCTATTTACTTGTTTCTATGCTAATAATTTATGGTTTGTTCCTTATTGTTTGTCTTTAAGGTCTTACTTTATAGTTTAATTTACTTTGTTTTACTTATTTCTCGTCTTCTGTAGATTCTGGTTTGACTCTTTTCTTTAGTTTTTCTCTCAGTATTTAAGCTCCTTGGTCTCCATTGTTCAGTTCTGGTTTCTTCCATCCTGATCGTCTCAGCTCCATGTCCTGTTCTTATGTCACCATTATAAGTTTCTTTGTTTTCATTATTATTACCTTTCAATTACATCTGGTTCTCCTACAAGCCTCTCATTATTACATATTTATTTTGTTTTCTGTTAAAAGAGTGGATCATAATTATTTTTTGTTTAAAATACAATCATCCTGTATTTAGGCAGGTGAACTACTACTGTCAGATGGATTATTATAATATAATTAAAACTTTGGTATATGTGCTAAATGAGATTCTCTCTAGACTACAGCAGTGACTTGAGGTCAAACTATGCCAAAACTGTTTTTACAAATATCTTCATCCATCTTCCCACATAGGAAGAAGCTGGAAGCAAAATGCACCTAAAAAAATTCACTTTAGTTCAGTTCAAATCAGTAACTCAATGGAGCACCAACATCTGTGTTGCCATAGATTTTCACTGGTTGATCTCACCATCATTTAATCTGTAATTCTTGTCCAGACTTGGTTTATTTACGTACCAGCTGGTCTGATCCAACCCGGAACAATGAAAACTGGTTTTACTGGTAGATCTTTGATCAACAGCAGAGTGAACTTTCAGTTTGCTTTCAGTTTGTCCAGAGAAACTATTTCAGAGAGTTATAAAGAAATAATTTAGTAAAGACTTGGTGTTTTATATCGAGGAAGATGGAGCTTTTTGCTGTGTTTTTGTTCCTGCTATACGGTAAGATATGTTTCCTCTCTTCAAGCTGAAGTTTATTCAGCTGATCTTTATTTTTTTTCCTTCTTCACAGTCAGTAAAATAATTACCAGGTACAACTAAGGCCACAGCAATGTTTTAAAATGTAGGTCCTTGCTCTTTGTCATAAAAAATGTTTGATTCTTTCAAGTTTATTGTGAAGTCATTTTCAGAATCAGCATAAAAATTATGGCAACTAAAAAGTCTCTTTATGGTAAATACATCATCCAGAGACATACAGCATCACTGTAGCATCATGTCCTTGCTGAAGCTTAATAACAAATAGTGTCAAAGTAAAATTTAAATCTCTACTGTAACAAGTTCTGGCACGGCTGATTGACAGATGAGATTATATTACATTTCGCTGCCTCCCAGTGAGCTGAAAGTAGCTGCTCATAGTAAAAAACAGGAAACTGTTCAGTGGATCATTCTGCCTCAGAGATGCACAAATGAATCTTTTTTTGCTGTTTTTCTTTCTCCTCATTAGTAGATAATATTATTAATCCTGGTCTGCAGTTAGCAGCAGCTCTGTGTAGCTCAGGTTTCTCTTGGGGTCACAGTTTCCTTTTGTCATGGTTACAACACTGGATTAGGATTACAGGAGCAATGTTAGAGTGGTTCCGCTCTGACAGAACCACTGTTGTCCATGTTTACTCCACTTCAGCACCACCTACATGCGGGACTCCACAGGGTTTCATTCTGGGGTCACTTTTATTTCCATTGGGTCTGTTATAAGGAAGCATGATAGTTAGTTTTGTTAAGCAAACCTGTTAGAGATTTTTGGTATTATCATTTTATTATTACTTTAGTTCATATTGAGTCTAACGTTAATCAATAGTTAATCAACATTCAGTATTATTGTGATTTTTAGTTTAAAGTGTTCTCTTCCTTATGTGTGTATAAACTGATCTGGAGGTCACATCTGCCTGTTCGTCTTCATGTGAAACAGTTAACTGTGTGTTTCCCAGACCTTAAATTACTTTCCACAGGTGCCTCCTTATCAACCAGAATACTCCCTATGTTAGAAACTGTCTGGGTGCAGTAGTATTTTTTGTCTCTGCTGTCTTCCTTACCTGTCCTCCCTGTTTTTGCTTGATAATAAAAGACAAGCTGTAACCAAAGGTCTTTAGACGCTCAGTGAACGGCTCAGAGGAGCAGTTTGCTGAGTCTTCACCTTTTGCAAAAGCTTGGTCATAAAATTCATATACGTTGTCTGTGCTTCTTTTTATGAAGGTTCGAAAGGAAAAATACCCAACAAAACCCAAATGCAGTGAGATTTCTGTGTGGTTTGATTGTGATGTGATTCTCTTTAGTGACACAACCTTCTTACATAATTACATAATAATAATCATAATTTTATATTCTGGCTTTTTCTGCTCCATAATAATGATGCATGTCTTACATCAATGACATAAAAGTCACATAAAATGCAACATGACCGTTTTGACTGCAGATACTTTGAAAACAATCAGCTATGTATCTGAATTAGTGTCACTCATTCAGATACAGTGTTGGATTGAGTGGCTCAGATCAGATTTTTATGGGGGTGAAATTATAGGAAATGAGCCATTAAGACCGCCAGGAAAAAGCCACATATATGCCACATGTCAGCAAAAAAAAAGAGGATTTAAGTCGTATTTGCCTGCTGTGTGATCGTAGCCTGTCTTGGGCTCTGGTCTCTCTTTCATGTCTGCAGCTTGTTCAGATTGTTACAGCTCAACTCTTAACAAGAGCTCATAGGTTTGAACCAATTTAAAATATATTCTGTGATTCTATCGGTTACAGAATATAGTTTAAAATCTTCTTATTGACTTTTAAATATCCAAAGAAGAGTTGTATGCATGTTAGCCTGAACAAGTGCAGACATTCAGACCTGAAGCTGTTAATAACGGCTCTACCTCATGTGAAGTGGAGAGAAATTATAGTTGACTAAAAGTTTAATTTCAAAGATCTACATGTTGTTAGCAGGTGATTCTGTCCTCTCTGCCTCTTCCATCCTCACTTACATATAGTATTATTCACATATGGAGAAATGCAGGATTATTGTAAATAATTAACTTGCTGAAATTGTGAAAATGATCCTTTTCTGTTTTTCAGTCTTCATAACACTGAAAAAGCACTTAGAAATACAGAGAACTGGGACACAGTTTGATCAACAGTAAATTAAATATTTATAGACTGCATGTCTTTGGATTAAATGTATTTATTTTAATAAACTGATTTAAAACTTGTCCTTTATTTGTCTTCCAGCCTCTCAGGATTCTTTGGCTGTGACTGTGGAGGTTCAGGAGGGGGAACCGTCTGTCGTTCTGCCCTGTCAGATCAGCAAAACATTAGAAGAGATTGTTACAGTGAAATGGAGTCGCTTTGATCTCAATCCCAACACTGTCCATCAACGGGACGAAGCAGACGACCTGCGTGGACAAAATCAGGTTTTCAGAGGAAGAACTTCAATGATACCTGATGCTCTGGACTCTGGTGACTTCAGCCTCACTCTGAGAGAACCTCAACTTTTAGACAGCGGCATCTACATCTGCAGCATGACTGAGAATCAGGAGGAAACAGCTCTGTCTGGCGTTCAGCTGCATGTCAAAGGTCAGCTACCTTTCACACCTCCCAGTTATTAAAACCAGTTGTTTCCTGGTTTGTAATGTCTAATAAATAATCTTGGTTAAATATGGTCTCTCAGCAACCATTGAGCTGATTTATGGTCAGGGTTTTGGCAAATGATTTTCATGAAATAAAAAACATATCCGAGTAAAAAATATGTTTTACTGAACAGTTATAAAGTCGAGTCATCAAGCTGACTGAACTATGTNCACATAGGAAGAAGCTGGAAGCAAAATGCACCTAAAAAAATTCACTTTAGTTCAGTTCAAATCAGTAAATCAATGGAGCACCAACATCTGTGTTGCCATAGATTTTCACTAGTTGATCTCACCATCATTTAATCTGTAATTCTTGTCCAGACTTGGTTTGTTTACGTACCAGCTGGTCTGATCCAACCCGGAACAATGAAAACTGGTTTTACTGGTAGATCTTAGATCAACAGCAGAGTGAACTTTCAGTTTGCTTTCAGTTTGTCCAGAGAAACTATTTCAGAGAGTTATAAAGAAATTATTTAGAAGACTTGGTGTTTTATATCGAGGAAGATGGAGCTTTTTGCTGTGTTTTTGTTCCTGCTATACGGTAAGATATGTTTCCTCTCTTCAAGCTGAAGTTTATTCAGCTGATCTTTATTTTTTTACCTTCTTCACGGTCAGTAAAATAATTACCAGGTACAACTAAGGCCACAGCAATGTTTTAAAATGTAGGTCCTTGGTCTTTCTGATAAAAAAATTTGATTCTTTCAAGTTTATTCTGAAGTCATTTTCAGAATCAGTATAAAATAGTCTATAAAGAGTCTCTTTATGGTAAATACATCATCCAGATACATATAGCATCACTGTAGCATCATGTCCTTGCAGAAGCTTAATAACAAATAGTGTCAAAGTAAAATTTAAATCTCTACTGTAACAAGTTCTGGCACGGCTGATTGACAGTAGATTACAAACTGCCTCTCAGTGAGCTGAAAGCAACTGTTCATAGTGGAAACAGGAAACTGTTCAGTGGATCATTCTGCCTCAGATATACAAATGAATCTTTTTTGCTGTTTTTCTTTCCCCTCATTAGTCGATCTAGTAGTGTAGACTATCTACAGACTAGTTTTGGTCTGCAGTTATCAGCAGCTCTGTGTAGCTCAGGTTTCTCTTGGGGTCACAGTTTCCTTTTGTCATGGTTACAACACTGGATTAGGATTACAGGAGCAAAGTTAAAGTGGTTCTGCTTTGACAGACACTTTGTGTTAATGTTGACCATGTTTATTCCACTTCAGCACCACCTACATGCAGGGCTCCACAGGGTTTCATTCTGGGGTCACTTTTATTTCCATTGGGTCTGTTATAAGGAAGCATGATCTTAATTTTTGTTAAGCAAACCCAACTGCAGTGAGACTTCTGTGTGGTTTGATTGTGATGTGATTCTCTTCAGTGACAAAACCTGATATAATTTCATAATAATCATAATTTTCATCTGTTGTTTACATTCTGTTTTTTTCTTCTACAGAATAATGATGCATGTCTCACATCAATGACATAAAAGTCACATAAAATGCAACATGACCGTTTTGACTGCAGATACTTTGAAAACAATCAGATATGTATCTGAATTAGTGTCACTCATTCAGATACAGTGTTGGATTGAGTGGCTCAGATCAGATTTTTATGGGGGTGAAATTATAGGAAATGAGCCATTAAGACCGCCAGGAAAAAGCCACATATAGGCCACATGTCAGCAAAAAAAAAGAGGATTTAAGTCGTATTTGCCTGCTGTGTGATCGTAGCCTGTCTTGGGCTCTGGTCTCTCTTTCATGCCTGCAGCTTGTTCAGATTGTTACAGCTCAACTCTTAACAGGAGCTCATAGGTTTGAACCAATTTAAAATATATTCTGTGATTCTATCGGTTACAGAATATAGTTTAAAATCCTCTTATTGACCTTTAAATTCCCAAAGAAGAGTTGTATGCATGGTTAGCCTGAACAAGTGCAGACATTCAGACCTGAAGCTGTTAATAAAACGGCTCTACCTCATGTTAGCTGGAGTCAAGGGGAAATATATAGTTGACTAAAAGTTTAATTTCAAAGATCTACATGTTGTTAGCAGGTGATTCTGTCCTCTCTGCCTCTTGCATCCTCAGGTGTATATAGTGTTATTTACATATGAAGAAATGCAGGATTATTGTAAATAATTAACTTGATGAAATTGTGGAAATGATCCTTTTCTGTTTTTCAATCACTCTTCATAACTGAAAAATTGTTTAGAAATACAGAGAACTGGGACACAGTTTGATCAATAGTAAATTAAATATTCAATAGACTGCATGTCTTTGGTTTAAATGTATTTATTTTAATAAACTGATTTAAAACTTGTCCTTTATTTGTCTTCCAGCCTCTCAGGATTCTTTGGCTGTGACTGTGGAGGTTCAGGAGGGGGAACCGTCTGTCGATCTGCCCTGTCAGATCAGCCATAAATTACAAGACATTGTTACAGTGAAATGGAGTCGCTTTGATCTCAATCCCAACACTGTCCATCAACGGGCCTTAGCAGACGAACTACATGCACAAAATGAGGTTTTCAGAGGAAGAACTTCAATGATACCTGATGCTCTGGACTCTGGTGACTTCAGCCTCGCTCTGAGAAACCCTCAACTTTTAGACAGCGGCATCTACATCTGCAGCATGACTGAGAATCAGGAGGAAACAGCTCTGTCTGGCGTTCAGCTGCATGTCAAAGGTCAGCTACCTTTCACTCCTCCCAGTTATTAAAACCAGTTGTTTCCTGGTTTGTAATGTCTAATAAATAATCTTGGTTAAATATGGTCACTCAGCAACCATTGAGCTGATTTATGGTCATGGTGTTGGTTAATAGATTTCATAAAATGATCAAACTAACCTTTATCTCCTAGAATGTTTTATTTTTCTATAGATATTTTTCAGTTTTCAATAATTATTCAATGACAGATATTCTGTCCAGATAATCATTATGTAGTTGACAGATAAACTAAATCCTACAGCTGTCAGAGAGTCTTCATCATCTATTAGTTAAATATCTCATCACTTTGTGGATTCAACTTATTTTGGCTGAAATGTATCAGATTTTACTGGTGGGAACTTATTACATGGAGACATCAGCAGTAAAGATAACTGATATAAACTCCATAGAAAACAAAGAAAGCAGGTTTATCTAATGATATCAAGTTGTTGATTTCAGACTCATTTTCAGTAAAACCTTAACAGGGTGGAATAAAAAGAGAGGAATCCTGGTTTTTACCATATTGGGAAAAACCCTAAAGCAACACTGTAGGCAGGGAGCCCAGTCCTGCCTCAGGTACCAGGTAGTTTAGTTAGGCTGAGTGTAAAAGATTATATAAATGAGGTTCTGGAGCTGTTCAATATCCAGCTTAGGGCAGCAGAGCCTCTCTGTGCTGTTCAGTCTCAGTAACCAGCTTGTTGAAATAACCTCTTCAGGTTGTAATCTCCACACTCCAGTTGTACCAAATGTACCAACTGGAAGGGAAAAAATTAAGAGTTTAATCAAAAGCAAATAATATGGTTGTTGACTATCAGAGTTAGTCAAAAGGAATCCAGCAAATAATATTAATAATGATAATATCACTCCAATGCTTACATTAAACTGGGCTGGAAGGGACATTTTCTGTTAGCGTTGACCAACAGTTGCTTTTCCAAAGGGCCACATATTGTTATCCTAGCTAAAATGATTCACATAAGAATTGATTTCATTAACTCTGGATTTTTTCCCCTATTGCTGTATAGCACTGCAAAAAGTAGTAATGTAGAGAAATGGGATTATGTAATTAAATGGTTGAAAGAAAAGCCTCTAATATTTAAATATATTAATTTTAACACACTGATTTAAAGATTTATTCTCTCTATTTGTCCTTCCAGCCTCTCAGGATTCTTTAGATGTGACTCTGGATATTTATCAGGGGGATTCATCTGT